AACTCTAACAGGTAATATTCTGTAAAGGGGTAGAGGAATATTGTAGGATTCAGGGAGGATGCCCGAGGAAGGAAGGAACTTGGAAAGGGCCCTCCCCACCAAGGCTGGGGCGCAGCCCACACCGTAAGATATGTGGCTGTGGATCACTGGACGGTGGGGAAGGTGGCTGGCTTGCCCAGACCGGAGCTGGTCCACAGATGCTGAGCAAGCAGAGAACACCCCTCCCAAGTGCTGGCAGGGTGAGGCTGGAAAGCCAGCTTCTGGGACACACTGGGAAGGCCTCAATTGGGAAAACACTGAAACTTGATGAGATGCCATCCACATGGATGAAACCTGATGGAAGTGAGCACCACTGAATATGCCCCATGTGTGTCACTGGTGACCAGAGGATAAGAGCAAGAGGAAGCCCAAGGCAAAGTCAGAACAAGGGAAAAGCCCTGTTCCTTCTGCAGTGTCCCTCAGGCTCCCTCTACTGACAAAGCTTAGCAGCCCATTCACTGCAAAGGGAGGATATTTAAAGATTCCAGCTCTGTTTTTGCAGAGCTGGTAGCAAAGGGTGGCTTTGGAGCATAGAGGCAATAGTCAAGTAGTATGGGGGCGCCTGGGTGGCTCAGTTGGTTAAGCGACTGCCTTCGGCTCAGGTCATGATCCTGGAGTCCCTGGATCGAGTCCCGCATCGGGCTCCCTGCTCAGCAGGGAGTCTGCTTCTCCCTCTGACCCTCCTCCCTCTCATGCTCTCTGTCTCTCATTCTCTCTCTCTCAAATAAATAAAATCTTTAAAAAAAAAATAGTCAAGTAGTATGATTATCCTCTCATTGTGCCAGGTCTGGGAGAGGTGGGATATTCTCTTTACGTGATTATCAGATATCCTTTTGTGTGTGTGTGTGAAGTGCCTGTTCAGGTCTTTCTGCCAAGTTTAAAAAATGAGTTGTCTCTTGTTGATTTGTAGTAGTTCTTTATATATTCTGGCTGCTAGTTTATTGTCAAATACACATATGACAGATATCTTCAGTCACGTCTAAGGCTTTGGGAAATTTTTTTACTTCTCTGTGTCTCTGTTTCCTCATCCATGAAATAAAGGCAAGACACACATAATAAGGATGTCATGAAGCTTCGAGGAGGTAATATTGAAAAAGTGCTCAGAAAGAATTCTTAATCGCAGGAAACAAACTGAGTGTTGTTGGAGTGGGGGGTGGGGTAGGAGGGATGGGGTGACTGGGTGATGGACACTGGGGAGGGTGTGTGCTCTGGTAAGTGCTGTGAATGGTGCAAGACTGTTGAGTCTCAGATCTGTACCTCTGAAACAAATAATGCAATATATGTTAAGAAAAAAAAGAAGAAGAAGAAGAAGGTAGCGGGAGGGGAAGAATGAAGGGGGGGAAATCGGAGGGGTAGACGAACCATGAGAGACGATGGACTCTGAAAAACAAACTGAGGGTTCTAGAGGGGAGGGGGTGGGAGGATGGGTTAGCCTGGTGGTGGGTATTGAGGAGGGCACGTTCTGCATGGAGCACTGGGTGTTGTGCACAAACAATGAATCATGGAACACTTCATCTAAAACTAATGATGTAATGTATGGGGATTAACATAAGAATAAAAAAAAAAGTGCTCAGAAAGATGCCAGCACGTAGTAAGCACTCCTGTTGTCATCAGGCCTGGCATGGGCCAATCCAGGAAGAGGAATCCTGTCCTCATCCCAAGTTTGGATGGTCCTGAGTTCAAGGGGAGGAATAAATGGTCTTTTGCCAGGGCCACAGCAGATTCTGTACAGTGGCATACTGATACAATGACCCTCCAGAAAAAAGCTCTGATTCGTAGCGGTCGCTAGTTGCCATGGTGTAAGTACTCCCTTCATGGCCGATTTCAATCTAACAATGGTTTAACATCCAGCCTGCAAAATTACTGGAAATCTAGCAGTCTGTTCTCCGGAGCCAGTGCAAGTCATCTTCTGTGTACCCCCAGCTCCCGTACCACCAGGTTGGGTTAACTTAGGTGGATCTCCTCCTCTCTGTGGATCTTCGTCCCTTCCACCTGTCTAAATGGGGCAAGTCATCCAACTCATTCATGCAGTACCGATTTAGTGAGCACCTTCTTTTTTTTTTTTTTTTAAGATTTTATTTATTTATTCATGAGAGACAGAGAGAGAGAGAGAGAGGCAGAGGGAGAAGCAGGCTCCCAAGGAGCAGGGAGCCTGATGTGGGACTCGATCCCAGGACCCTGGGATCATGACCTGAGCTGAAGGCAGACGCTTAACCATCTGAGCCACCCAGGCGCCCCTAGTGAGCACCTTCTATGTCAGTCACTGGGCTTGGCTCTGGAGATGCAGACTTGAGCAAAAGCAAAGAAGACCCTCCCTAGCAAAGATATTCTGAAGGTAGGGGCGGTGGAGGGGGGTAGGGTAATGACTGAAAATAAATAAGCAAGCACATGAAATCAGGGAATTATAAGATCTACGGAGAAAACAAAGCGAGTATGACAGCTCTTGTGTTGGCAGGGGGTTTACTTTGGCTAGCATGATTGACAAAGCATTCTTAAAGGTGACACCTGATATGGGGCGCCTCCGTGGCTCAGTCGGTTAAGCATCTGCCTTCAGCTCAGGTCATGATCTCAGGGGCCTGGGATCTAGCCCTGCATCTGGCTCCCTGCTCAGCTGAGAGTCTGCTTCTCCCTTTTCCTCTGCCCCTCCTCCCGCTCTCTCTCTCTCTCTCTCTCTCAAATAAATAAATAAATAAAATCTTTAAAAAATAAAGGTGACCCCTGATAAAGAGTCTGGTACCAATCTGGTGGGAAGAGCATTCCAGCAGAGGGAACAGCCAGTGCAACAAAGACCTGTGGCTGCGACAAGTTCGGCTTGTTTGAGGAACAGAATGAAAGCCAGAGCAGCTGGAGCTGAGTGAATGAGGCCGGGCAGGGGCATCGGCTGGTTTACGCGTTCAGTGGTTGTGCATTTGAACGCAGAAGCAAAGGTAGACCAGGACACTGGCGGGTGTAGTCAGAGCAGTCCTACAGGGGGCGATGGTGGCGGCTGAGACCGGTGAGAGTACCCAGGACAGGGAGGAGTGGACAGAGTAGAGACCCTGTTTTAAAGGCAGAGCAGGCTGCTCTTGCAGACAGACTAGATGTGGGGGGAAGAAGGGAGGATGTGTTTGTGAGGTAGACTTCAGAAGCTCCTGCCTGCAACTTCCGCAGACATGGAGTAGGTTGAGACTTCTCTTGCTTCAGAGGTCAATACGGGAGACGGGGACAGGGACACCTCAGGCGGGCCCGGAGGGAGGGCCCTACCTGGTGGTGTAGGAAAGACGTTAGGGCTCGAAGCTGACGGCCGAGAAAGAATTCTTGAGACGTCTTTGGTGCAAAAAAAGTGGTTTTATTACAGCACAGGGACAGGACCCATGGGCAGAAAGAACTGCCCTGGGGTCGTGAAGAGTGGCTCATTATATACTTTCAAGTTGGGAGGGGCTTAGGGATAGCGTAAGGCTCCCAGGTATTTTGGAAACAAGGTTTCCAGGATCCTGAAGGGGGCTAGCGGTTAGGAAAAGGTCATTTATTACTGTTTAGTAAAAACTCAGTCATGAGACCCTTCAGATGTATATAGGTGGGTCATATGCTTGGGGGATGGGTTGTCAACATGTCTCTTGAGGGGTGTAGGGGGTAGAGAAAAAGGAAGTTTCCAAAAGAATTTTTATATGTTAAAGTAGATTTACAGGATCCTGGGGATCGGGCTAAGATTGCCTTTTGCCCTTAGCAAAGTATTAACATCAAGGCAGCTGAGTTCTTAAAGGAATGTCACTTTGCCTGTTTTGAGGACTTGTCAGTGGGCTGTAGACAGTAAGGAAACTTAATAATTTTTCTTCTGCCTTTGTTTCCCACATCACATAGCAAGTGGGTGCCTGGTGGGACCAAGAGGAAAGAACTAACCACAGGTTGTTGGGATACTGGGCAGAGCCAGCAGTTTCCCCAGGATCTCTCTTCTCTTCTCAATAACCTTGGGAAATAGAGATGATTCCCTCTTGCGGGGCAGACAGGGAGGTTCTGGGAAGAGAAGTGACTTGTCTAAGGTCACACAGCCAAATAAGTGAAAGAATGGGGAGTCCAGATTTTCTGTGCCTTACCATCTCCTCCCCACTCCCACGACCAGGTCCCTGGTCCTGCCCCATTCCCCCTGTTATCCTGAGGAGGAGGACTGGAGTAAAGAGAAAAAGGAAATTTTACTCCAAGAGGCAGTGTTATTCATGAAAGTAGATAGAGAAGCTGAACTGTGTCCTGCAAGAAAAGGAACTGGAATCCTAGACTCCTGGGTCTGAGAGAAGAGGGACTGAGAGCCTGGACACCTGGGTCTGAGGGAGGAGGGGGCTGGGGGGTTGGGGGCCTGGATTCCTGGGTCTCAGGGAAGAAGGGGCTGGGGGCAGGACTCCTGAGTCTGAGGGGAGAGGGGGCTGGGGGGTTGGGGGCCTGGATTCCTGGGTCTGAGGGAGGATGGGGCTGGGGTCCTGGACTCCTGGGTCTCAGGGAAGAAGGGGCTAGGGGCAGGACTCCTGGGTCTGAGGGAGGATGGGGCTGGGGGCTAGACTCCCGGGTCTGATGGAGGAGGGGCTGGGGGCCGGGACTCCTGGGTCTATGGGAGGAGGGGGCTGGGGACCGGGACTTCTGGGTCTGAGGGAGGATGCTATTGGGACCCAAAGCAGAAGGGAGGTGGGCTCAGGAAGTGTCCCCGACCCAGGGTTCTGGGGATCCGAGATGGGAAGACGTGGGGACGCCCGGGGCGGGAGGGGGTAGGGGCCGGGCCGCAGTAACAAAGGCCTCTCCCTCCAACAAGCAACCCCCCCTCGGCCCCGCCTCCCCGGCCCCCCGCCTCCCCTGATTGGTCGGCCTTCCTGCCCGTCAGCGCCGCCCCCCTCCCCGGGTCTGCAGCAGCTCCGGCCGCCTCGTCGCACCCCCCCAGCCCCCTCCCCCCGCCCCCGCCGCCCCCCGGGCCGGTGCAGCCGCAGGCGGGGTCCCCCTCCCCCTCCCCCTCTTCCCCCGGCCTCGCGCGCCCCGGACCGGCCCCCCCTTTCCCCTCCCCCTTCGCGCCGCCGCTTCCGCGATGCCCCCCCCTGCGCCCGGGGCCCGGCTCCGGCTTCTCGTCGCCGCCGCCCTGGCCGGCCTGGCCGTCATCAGCCGAGGTACCGCAGCGTCGGGGGCGGGGGGGGTCGGCCGGGACACCGGGGTCCCGAGCCGGGATTGGGGGTGGGGGGCTGCATCCCGGGCGGAGAAGGGGGGGCCCTCCGGGCGCTGAGGTCTGGGCCCCGGGGCGGGGGCTGCATCCCCTGGCTGGGAAGGGGGTCTCGGACGTCTGGATTCGTGCCCGGGGGCAGGGTTCCGCGTCCGGGGGCTCGAGCCTGGGCCTAGGGCCGGAGGTCGGCTTCTCCGGGCGGGCGAGAGGGTCGCGGACACCTGATCCCGGCCTGGGGGCGGGAGTCTGCGGCTCGGGATCTGGGAGGGGGATCAAACGCTAAAGTAAGGGTCCCTGGGCAGGATCTCTGAACTGAGTTGGGGTGTGGAGGGGAAGTAGGATGCCCCGTCGGGGGTCTTCATCTCTGAGTGGTGACAGTCCCTGAGGGGGTCCTGGCCTGAGGGCTGGGGTGGGCCTTTCTGGGCAAAGGTGGGGGGATGGTGTCTTCCCAGGGTCTGTAAGAGAAGGCGGCAGGGGTATCCACAGACTTCCATCCCAGGGCCAGGAAAAGAAGAGGGGCTCTGGCCTCCCAGCTGGGTCACCTAGGTGGGGAGAAAGTGTTGGTGTTTGGGAGGTTGCAGTTATGTAGGGGAATGGAGCTGGTGATCCAGGAAGTTGGGGGTGCCGGGCTGGGGACTCAGATGTGGGAAGCTCTGGCTGAATAGCAGGGTTCAGAGGCTGGACTGAGGATGAGAGGAGGCAGATTAAGAAGGGAGGGAAGGGAAGGGTTAACACGGGGTCAAAGGGTTAATCTCAGCCCTGCTGAGATTGGGGATGAGTGGGGCTGGGGGCTGGTGTGTGGAGTGCAGAAGGGGAACCTGGGCAGCCTCTGGAGAGAGGATGTGGATGTCTCCTGGACCCTGTGTCTCCCCGGGGCCCCGGCATGGTCCAGGATGTGCCCCCTGAGGAGAGGAGGAGAGAGCAAGAAGGCAGGAGGCGGGGATCAGGGTTAACTCAGTGCTTCTGGAGGATTCCCCCAGGTCCTGCCCTGAACCAAGGATTACAGTCAGGGACACACGATCAGGGACAACCTAGAGTCTTCACCAGTCTCAAGGAGGCAGCCACTCTCAGCCTCCCACCCACACACACCAGGTCACCCACAGACACATAAATACCCGTCCCCGAGTCTGACCCAGAGCCGCACTCGACGACACCCAGTCACACAAACGCAGCCCCGTGCACGCAGGACCCCCGCCCCAGGGCCTCGGCAGGCTGGAGGGCAGGCTGGAGCCTCAGCGGGTTGGCGGCTTCTCCAGCCTGACCCGTCTGAATCACCGTCTGACACTCGGACTGCCTGTCTGCCTCTCTGTCTCTGTCACTCGTCTCTTTAGGTCATTTCCAGAGGCTCCCTAGCTCTAGGGGACATCCCATTTGTCTCTGTCTCTGGGTCTCTGTCTCTCCATCCCTGCTGGCCTCAGCACAATTTCACATCTGTCCCTCCCTGCCTCAGGAACTGCTTCTCATCGTCACACGGGTGTGCCTGTCCCCCTCGTTCCTAGCCCTCTAGCCCTCTCAGTCCTCGCTCCTTTCACTCCTGGGAATTCACGTCCCATCATGGTCACCGACACCTCCCATTTTTGCCCTTGTCCTTTCCTTGTCTCTCATCTTCTCCTTCTCCTTCCCCCGCTCCTCATACTCTTGGGAGCCCCGTCCTTTCTCGCCTCTCCCTTCACCAACCCTTCTCTTCCTTCAGTCTCAAGATAACTTCCCACTTTCCACTTTGAATCTTCCAGATCCCAGAAACTGCTCTGGTACACACATCCTGGGCTGGGAGCTTCTTGGAGTCAGGAAGCGGCCTGCGACCTAGGTCAAGTCCTCTCCCACTCCTGGGCCTTGGGTTCCCCATGGGCGATCTGGGAGCAAGAGGGAATGGGGCCGGGGGGGGGGGCGGGTGGCCTGAGACAGACCTAGGTGGCAGCATGACAACCCCACCTGCCGACAGTTGGTGCGTTCTGAAAAAAACCCGGGGGGGCGGGGAAGGGGGGCTGGGCCCATATACAAAATTGCATTTTCTCTCCTCTCTGATTCATTTGCTCTTTTCCAAATTCCAGAAGGAATGCATGCAAGTGAGCAATCCTCTACAAATATGTATTAGAGCAGATCCCAGTTTGTCCCGGCCCCACCCCTCCCAAAACGCCCTCGCTGCACTCTCTTGGGAGAGCCCGGGTCACGGCTTTCCCTCACTCAAAGTCAGGCACGCAGAGTTGAACATATGTAAGGTATTGGTCTGTTGGTGGATGTTTTCCCTGAGATAGAAACAAAATAAGCCCATTTCTCTGCAACTGGCTTTTTTTTTTGTTTTTTTCCACTTAACTTTAGCTCCCCGGCATCCAGAGATATGATTCTATCTTTAGTTTCTTTTCTAAATTCTTTATGCCAACACTCACACTCACACTCACACTCACACTCACACTCACATACATATATATTCACTTACAGAGGTTGCTGCCACAAGCTGTCTAGGGTGGCTGCTTTGCTCCCTGGCCGGCCGGCGAGGGGTGTTGGACGGATTGGGGCAGGCAGAACGGGGCGGGCCGGCCACTGGCCACGGCCCTCTGGGCACCCGGTCTGTCCGGACTGGATACTTGACAAATATTTCCTGAGCACAGAGTCTCTGTTCTGGGCACTGGGGATCTATATATACGCGGCCGTGAGCAAGCCAGATGAATCAAGGAGCTCTCAAGGAGCTTCTATCCTAGTGGGATGGAGAGAGATCACAACCTAAAAACAGGCAAATAAGTAAACGGGTAATTTCAGAGAGTGACAGTGAGTAGTGTAAAGAAATTAAGAGTGACTTCAGGGACGAGCTGACCATGGGAGCTCTGGGGGTTTGAGAGAGCCCTCTCTGAGCTGCAGGGAGCGGAGTTCAGACTGAAAGGAGAGAAGTCGACCTTTAAAAGATCCTGAGGAAACAGTGAAGGCAAAGGTCCTGAGGTGGGAACCAGCAGAAGGGAGTAGCCAGCATGTGATGGAAACTGCCAGGGCTCTTGGCTCAGCGTCTGGAGTCCAGGCATCTGTCCTGGGAAGGCCCCTACACTTGGAGGCCAGCAGAGAGGAAGGGGGCTCGGAGGGTTCCAGCCCCTTCTCACCAGCTCTCCCCTGCCAGAGCCACACCCCTCCCCATGCATTCCCCACCCCTCCCTGGGTCCAGCCTCACTTCAGCCTCAGCTTCCCCTCGGTGGGTTCCAGAACTGTGGAATCCAAGCCTTCCCTCGTTGGAGGGTCCCAGCTTCACCGAAGTTCCCCCTCTGAGGGGTAGCAGGAGGTGCTTATCTCTAACCCAAGGCCCTCCATCTTGTGAGAAATCTCTTTCTCTCTGAACGGGAGGAACCTCACCTACCAGTGACCTTCATGCCTTGACTTACCAAGCAGGTGTGAGGGCTACTAGTAGACTGACAGGGACCCAAGTGGTCCTTCTTGTCACCACTGGCCCCCCAGACCAGCTGGGGCACCTGCCACATCATCATCCCTTCAGCCAGCGCACGAGAGGGCTGTTGGCAAGCGCTCAGCTAGCAGGCTCTGCGTTGAACCTGTTGCTTCGGTGACCTCTTTTCATCCTCCCCGCCACCCACAGCGTGGTGCGGGAGGCCCAACGATCGTCCGCATTCACACAGGGAGAAACTTGAGTCCCAGGGAGGTGAAGGAAGTTGTGCAACTAACGGGCAGCGCGGGACTCGAACCCTGGCAGCCCGGGGCCCCAGTCTGTTCTTTCAGCGGCCCGGTTATGCTCGCTTGGTGGTGTCAGAGCAGATGTGGACAGGGCACCAGGACAGGACATGGGTCGCCGACTCAACGCCGGCGGGTGCAGCGCACAGAGCAACGGATGCCCCGCCCCCACCCCAGGGGACTGACACCGAACCAGGGATAGCAATAGATGTTTCTTAAAAAAGAAGGAACAGCTAACATTTATTGGACCCTTTCTGCATGCTAAGCGCTGAGCTAAACATTTTGCTTGCATCTTCTCATGGACTCCCTCACAAAACCCTCAGAGGGAAGGACTGGTTTTTTTTTTTTCTCCTTTTAATAGATGGGGAAACTGAGGCTCAGACTGTCCGGGGTTCACCCAGCCAGGAAATGGTGGGGCAGACATCTGACCTCCTAGCACAGATTCCTCCTGGCTTTCTTATCCAGTCTCTCAAGAGCATTCATTCTCCCTACAAACACTTCCCTGTTCTGGGCTAAGCCCAGCTCTGGGGGACACAGCTAAGATTCAGGCCGGGGGGGCACCCCTGAACACTGTCCCAGCTGAGTCAGAGGGTATCCAGCAGAAAGCGTTGAGACTCTCTGTCTTGAACAGTCAGGGAGGCCCTCCTGGAGGAGGGGGCACTTGAGTTTGGGTCTTGAAGAATGAGTAGGAGTTCAAGAGTTGAAGACATGTGTTGTAGGTATCTATTTACATTCACTCTTTCAACAGATATTTCCCAAGGTCTCCAGCATCAGGCCATATGCTGGGAGATGCTGAGGATACAGACCTGAGTCAGCCCCAGGGTCTGCCCTCAAGAAACTTCTAGTCTGAAGGGGCAGACACAGATGGCCACCACGGTGTGATGTGAGCTCTAATGGAGGTAGTCCAGGCATTGTGGGAATACAGACCAGGCTTAGAGGGGGTAGGGAGGGCTTCCCAGTATTAAGGGAGAGTTTTCCAAACAGAATTCCTACAGAGTGGCTCTCACGAGCCCCAGCTTATTTATTTATACATTAAACATCTTTCGAGGCCTCCTGTGGGCCAGGCCCAGAGCCAGCAATGCTGGAACCCTGGAGGGGGGTCAGACCCTCGCCCCTCCCTGAGGGGCTCCCATCTGGTGAGGGAAGCAGGCTCAGACAGGATCCGGGGAAGAGCTGTGCTCAGGGACAGAGTGGGTGATGGAATGACTAACCTGACCCGTACCTCCACTTACTGAAGCCCAGAAAAGGGAAGGGACTTGCCCAAGGTCACACAGCAGGGAGGGGGGGGGTCTTGATCCTGGAGCCTGGGAATTGTGTGAGACAGGCATGCAGACTCATGACATCCAAATGTATAGACACAGGGCCCAAGAATCCAAGACCCGCCAGAGACGTGGATTCCTTCATCACTTATCTCCTGGGACTGCCCTCTAGCTGAGCCTGGAGCTGGGCATGCTGGGGACACAGATGGTCTGGGCCAGGCTCTGCCCTGGAGGAGCAGGTGGGGGAGGCAGATGACTCCAATCCAAGGTGCCCTGGGAACAGGGCAGGAGCTCATATGTGCTGTCTCTCCTAGGAGAGGCCTCATTATACTAGACCCCTGGGGAAGGAGAAGCATCTTTGTCATAAACCGTGGGACAGAGGGACAAGGAGAAAAGTGGGGAATGCAGAGCTGGGCCACACACCCGCACTAGGGGAGACAAAGCAGGAGAGTGACCCCAGGGCCCCAGACCCAGGTTGAGGGGCTGGGCCTTTGTCCTGGGGGCAGTAGGGAGCCACGGGAGCAGGGGGGCAGCTCTGAGTGTTGGAAAGATCCCTCTGGACGGAGTGTGTGTCTGTCTCTATTTCTGTATGTTAGGACATAGGATTGAGGTCCTGCCTGCCCGTGTCTGTGGGTTTAGCTCCCAGGGCGGCAGCTGGGTGTAGTCCGGGGCTTAGCCCGGGAGCCCTGGGTCCCTGCAGCCTGGGGGGACCTTGGACAGCTCCGTCTTCAACCCTAGGCCTCCTGTAACCTTGGAGGTTTGGGCGTCATTGGGCGAGGAGGGGGGATTGTGCCCCCTGTGGGACATCGGGCAATGTCCAGAGGCAGTTGTGGTGGTCACCACTGTGAAGTGGGCCTCGAGTGGGTAGAGGCCGGGGATGCATCTGGCCCCAAACGTCAGTGGGCCCAACGTGGAGAAGCCTGGGTCTAGCAGTGTGTGAGCAGGAGTATGACAGGTCCTGTGGCATGTGTGTGCTCGGATGTGTGCGTGATCTGATCGTCAGTGACAGCGTGACTGCGTGTGCCCGATTCTTGGCCCAGGGCGGCTCCTTTGTATTTGAGAGGCTCTGAGAGTCTAACGTTTCCTTGCACTCTGTAGCTTTTTTTTTTTTTTAAGATTTTATTTATTTATTTGAGAGAGAGAATGAGAGACAGCACAAGAGGGAGGAGGGTCAGAGGGAGAAGCAGACTCCCCGCCAAGCAGGGAGTCCGACGCGGGACTCGATCCCGGGACTCCAGGATCACGACCTGAGCCGAAGGCAGTCGCTCAACCAACTGAGCCACCCAGGCGCCCCACTCTGTAGCTTTCTGCACGACTTTCCAGAGTGCAGGGGCGGGGGGTGGTGAGCATGGCCCTTGGGCTGGTAGTGTCAGCCTGACTGATGAGGTCAGTGTGTGCGTGTGTGTGTGAGAGAGGGGGGGGGCTCCCTGGATGGGCTGTAACGGGGTGTACGTGGACTGCACCCGCGTGTGGGGGGCTCTTGGTGTTGGTGCAACAGTGTGGGTCTAGTTGTATATGGTGGGGTGACCTTCTGCTGGGGCTGGGCCCTGGGCTGTGTGTCAGCGGGCGCGCGTGTGCACCCAGGCCCCTGAGCAGGCCCCATTGCCATCCGGGTGCTGGAGCGTCGGACTGTTTCCTGGCCCAGCCCGGGCTCCGGGTGTCTCCCGTGGGCCCTGGCGATGTGTCTGTGTCTGTGCGTGTCCCAGGACTGTGCGTGGTAGCGTCCCCTCTGCACAACTCGGGGGAAGGCAGGCCTCTCCCCTGCATCCAGAAGTGACTCCGGCCACGGTGAGGGGCTGCAGGGCCCACCCCAAGCCCCCGGGACCTGGGGGCCCCACCGCACTGGCCCTGCCCCAGCCCAGTCCTGAGGGGCTGCTGATGGAGAGGGCCCCCAGGAGCTGTTGGGGCGGCACGGGCAATTAATTCATTAGATTAATGAGCTCCTCATGCCAGGGCGGGGGCAGGGCAGCCCCACGCAGGGCCCTCCTTCCCCAGGCATCCAAGGTCATCCAGCCTCCTCTCCCCTGCCCGGTGCCGGTGCCGGCTCCATCCGCCTCCGCATGCCCAGCCCCCACTCCCTGGCCCTGGTCCAGCCCGCCGGCCACGGTCCACGGAGATGAATAGGTGGGGGTGGGGGCTGCGCCGGGCGACGGTGCCCGTGAGCTGTGCTGGAGGGTGCGGGCAGGCGTGGGCGTGCGCCTGCGAGTGTGCCCCGTGAGCATGGGCAGGCGGGTGCGTCTGGAGACGCGTGTGTGTGGCTGCACACAGGGCCCAAGGGCGTACCTGTGCATCCGGGACAGGTGTGTGTCCGAGGGGATGCACGCACGCATCTGTGTTTGCGTGCACGTGTTTGCATCTCTGTGTCTGCAGGTCCGTGTACTCATGTGGGTGGCTCTGTGTGTGTTTCCGTGTGTTTCTGAGTGGACATGTGCACATGTATCTGTGTGTATGTATGTACGCACCATGAGCCTGGATATGTGTGTATACATGCCCATGTACGTGTGCATGTGTGTGCACCTGTGTGTTCTTGAACTTTGAGCGTGTGTGTGTGCGCATCTGTGTGGACACGTGTGCGCGCGTGTGTATCCCTGTGTACACGTGTATCTGTGTACGTGTGTGTGCATCTGTGTGGACACGTGTGTGCACGTGTCTGTATCCCTGTGTACACGTGTGTGTATCCCTGTGGACACGTGTGTCTGTGCATGTGTGTGGACACGTGTGCGTGCGCGTGTGTATCCCTGTGTACACGTGTGTCTGTGTACATGTGTGTGCATCTGTGTGGACACGTGCGCGTGCATCTGTGTGGACGTGTGTGCACATGTGTGTGTATCCCTGTGTACACGTGTGTCTGTGTACGTGTGTGTGCATCTGTGTGGACACGTGTGTGTATCCCTGTGTACACGTGTGTCTGTGTACGTGTGTGTGCATCTGTGTGGACACGTGTGCGCGCGTGTGTGTATCCCTGTGTACACGTGTGTCTGTGTACGTGTGTGCTGTGTGTACATCTGCATACACATTTATGCCGCTGTGGATCTGCGAACGTATATGTGTGTGAATCTGTGTGTGTGCGCGCACACGCGTGTCTGTGTGCTGTACCCGGAGTGGCTCTGGAGGTGTGTAGGCTTGTGTGTCCCAGTCTGTGCGTCAGTGTGAGCTTGTGGAAAGGAACATGTTGCGTGTGTCTGCTCCAAGCGCGTCTGCCGTGCATCTCTGGAAACATCGATGAATGTGTGTGCCAGGGAGTGTGGGGAACGTCCGTGTGTGCGAGGGCATGTGCGCGTGCGTGCAGACGCGTCCAGTCCCTGCTGAGCTGCCCCTCCCGTCCGCAGGGCTGCTGTCCCAGAGCCTGGAGTTCAGCTCTCCCGCGGACAACTACACGGTGTGCGAAGGGGACAACGCCACCCTCAGGTACGTCCCATCTCGGGGACTCTGGAATCACCCAGTCCTGCTCCTTGGCCTTCCTTAGGGGAAGACACACAGCCCAGCCCCTGTCGGTCAGGAAAAGTAGTTAGAGGCGTGGACTCGAGGCCTGGTTCTGTGCCTGGGCCTCAGTGTCCCCATCTGTCAAATGGGTGGAGGAATGATAACCACTGTGAGGGCTGTCATGGCGATTCAAGATTTTGTACTCACACCCCGAGTTCAGAGAGCATGGCACACTGTGACCGCTTAGCAGACGAGAGTCAGGCTTATTTCCTCCGGACGATGCTGCCCCCCACACTGCGTCTGCCCCTCCCTCTGGTCTCTGTCCCCCTCTCCCTGGGTCTCTCTCCCTCATCTCTGCAACTCTTTCTCTCTTAGAGTGCTCCAGATACTTTTCCAGTCTCTAGCACACATCACTCAGTAACCATCAGCTAACCTTCCGCTGTGCACTTGGGCTCAAACTTGAGGCTCAGTTTACCCACTTGTAAAGTGGGCACAATCCCCTCTGCCTCACAGGGCCTCCGTGGGAATTGGCAATGCAGTAGGCCTTCCTCTCCCCACCTCCAAGCCCCTACGATGGCGGAGCCTGGAGGGCCTTCTGGGGTGGGGGAGAGAAGAACCTTCCTCCCTTGTCTTTCCTGAAGCTGCTTCATTGACGAGCATGTGACCCGCGTGGCCTGGCTGAACCGCTCCAACATCCTGTACGCGGGCAATGACCGCTGGACCAGTGACCCGCGGGTGCGGCTGCTCATCAACACGCCCGAGGAGTTCTCCATCCTCATCACCCAGGTGGGGCTCGGCGACGAGGGCCTCTACACCTGCTCCTTCCAGACCCGCCACCAGCCGTACACCACTCAGGTCTACCTCATCGTGCATGGTGAGCCCTCAGCCGCGCCTTGGGTGGCAGAGGGGGTGGAGGGCACGAGGGAGAGAGAATCCTCGCATCCTCACCAATGGTCTGATCCCCGATCCCGGGGATACATGGTGTGGAAGGCAGGCACACACCCTGCCCTCACGGATTTCAGCCAAGCAAAAGGAGGGACAGTCTCCCAGAAAGTGACACTTCAGCGTGACAGCTTCTAGGGCAGGAGAGCTGCAGGGGTGAGGGGGTGCTCAGGGAAGACTGCAGCCATCCACTTGGCTCTGTTTACTGAGCACCTACTATGTGCAGGCATTGCTCTAGGCCCGGGGGATGGAGAAGGAGCCAGGCGGGCTGTCCCTGCCCTTTTGAAGCTGACTTTCTAAGGAGGCGGCTTCCCAGACATAATGTCTGAGCTGAGACCTTCAGCTGGGGGCAGAGCTGGTACTGGAAACGGAGCGGCGCTGCAGGGGCCAGGGGAGAAAACGAGTCAGGTGTGCAGAACAGGTCCCGCGTGGCTGGATGCCCCAGAATTCAGAGAGCGAGAGGTGGGCAGGAGACAGAGAGAGCAACAGGGGACAGAGCTCAGGTGGCTGGAGGGCAGGGAGCAGTTGGAGAGACAGGGAACCAGAGACAAAGACAGCCCAGTGGGGCCATGACAAGCCCCGACTCGGGAGCCAGACCACCCAGGTGCTGAGGGACCCTGAGCAAGCAGGGCGGCCTCGGACTCCTCATCTGCAAAATGGGGATGACTCTGTCGTGCATCAAATCCAAGACATGGTCAACTGGAAGGGGCATCTTTGTTTTCTGCTCTGCCAAAAAAGAAAAGAAAAGTAACCCTGCCAATTAAACTCCAGCATCCTATGTTGTCAGGCCATCCTGATTGGAACGATGTTCCGGCGGGTGCGGGAAACTGCCATGTGTGTTAGAATTGACGAATATAGCAACATCTACCCCAGGGGGTGGCAGGGTGGTGAAGGTTTAATGAGCTAATGTGTATAAAACACTTAGAACAGGGTTACCACGCTGGAAGCACCATATGAGTATTTGTTATAGAAACTAATTGTTTAAAATAAGAATAATAACAATAATTAATAAAAGTGGACAGAGATAAGGTGGGAGGAATTCAAACCAGAAGGCAGAGAAACCAAGTTAGGATGAAGGGAGAGACAGAGACAGAGACAGAGACTGAGAAAGAACAGGAAAGAGAGAGACTAGCAGTTAGACAAGGAGCCAGACCTAGAGGGGCAACGGGGAAACACAGAATTCTTAGAAAGACAGAGGGCATGTTGGCTGGACCCCTGGGTCTAAGGGAGGAGGGGCTGGGGGCCAGGGTTCCTGGGTCCTGGGAAGCCATATTCAGCCTCTCACTGACCTCTCCCCTCCCGGCCTGCAGTCCCCGCCCGCATCGTGAACATCTCCTCCCCTGTGACGGTGAATGAGGGGGGCAACGTGAACCTGCTTTGCCTGGCTGTGGGACGGCCAGAGCCCACGGTCACCTGGAGACAGCTCCGAGGTGAGGACCCCACCCCTGGCCCAAAGCCCCTTTCCCCGCTCCACAATCTGGGCCCCTCGATTCCCCATATCCCTAGCTAGATTCCCAGAGTCCCCCCCCCTTCCATGACTTGCTTCCCTCCCTCCACCCTGATCCCATTATGTCACCAGCAGCCCAGAGCCTTAGAGCCTTCACCACCTGCAGGCCTGAACCATTTCCTCTAACTCACCTGCTAGACCCCAGCCTGCACCCTGTCCCCACGCCAGGAGCCCTGGTCTCTTCCCCACCGGCTCACGTAATTCTGGGTTCTGAATCCCTACAACTAACCCTAAGTCACGTTATAACCAGTGGCCCCTGCCCCTGTTCCCATCTCCTGGTCACCTCACTACATCTCCTCTGCGGGACGCTCTAGCTCAGCAGTTCTCAAAGTGTGGTCCCCAGACCAGCAGCATCGGCATCACCGGGAGCTTGCCAGAAATGCACATTCTGGGCCCATCCCAGGCCTAATGAATTAGAACCTCCCTCCACCCACGACCCCCACCAATCTGTATTAACAAGCCCTTCAGGTGATTCTGGTGATGGAGCTGAGAACCACTACTCTAGGCTTCCCCCAAACATAGCACCAAGATACCTGAACATGACATCCCAGATCCTGGACATCCACCACCCTTTTACGTGGATCTCCACCCCTATCCCCCAGATCCCTAGACCCTCATTCACTGGGTCTTTAGAGACCAATGGTGCCAATCACTCTATCCCCCGAGACCCCAGAACCCAATAACTAGGTCTCAGATCCTGGATCCTTTCCCACCTGGTCATCTGAGCCCCACAATCCTGGGCTTGAGACCCTGGGTCCCTGGATGCCTGTAGTCCCAAAGGATCTTCTGAACCTGGTGATGTGTCATGAACCCCCAGGTATCTGGATTGCTGATCCCAATTACTAGATCCTGATTCCTTGAACCCAAGAATAAGATCCCAGAACTCTGGACCCCCCACCCCACCCCTTGGGTCTGTATTATCTGGATCTTTCTGAGCTCCAAGATCCTGGGATCCTCCCCACTGGGTACTGTGAGCCTCATGATCTGAACCGTGAGCTCCCAGATCCCTGGATCTGTTGCATCCCCAAATTCTAGGACCCGCCCCATTGGGTTCTAGTTACAAGCCCCAGACCCTCATTCCCTGCCCCACACCCCTAGCAGGAGATCCCAGGCCGTGGATCCACACCCCCGCCCCAAACCCCTGCAAACCCCTCCTGGCTCTCACTGACCCGGGCACTCCAAGCCCTGCGGTGCCTGCCCCGCTGATGTGTGTCCGTGTTGTGCCCGTGTTGTCCCGTGTTAAGTGTTTGTGTCCGGCCCCGCCCCCTCCCCTTCCCTCCCCGCACAGACGGTTTCACCTCGGAGGGCGAGATCCTGGAGATTTCTGACATCCAGCGAGGCCAGGCCGGGGAATATGAGTGCGTGACTCACAACGGCGTGAACTCGGCACCCGACAGCCGCCGTGTGCTGGTCACAGTCAACTGTGAGCCCTTTGGCACTGGGCGTGAAAGGGGGGCAGGCCCTGGGTCCCTGGGGAGGAGGATGGGGGTGCTGGACTCTTGGGAAGGAGGGGGATGGGGACAGAACCCTTTAGGCCTCACCTCGCTAGGAGAATTCACTAACTCTTGCCCCTCGCCAGATCCTCCGACCATCACGGACGTGACCAGTGCCCGCACGGCCCTGGGCCGGGCCGCCCTCCTGCGCTGCGAAGCCATGGCGGTGCCCCCCGCGGACTTCCAGTGGTACAAGGATGACAGACTGTGAGGACAACACCGGGGCGGGCCAAGGGGGAGGTGGGGAAGGTAGCCGAGCCCTAGGTCCCGAGAACTGGGGAATCCAGCTTCCAGGGAATGGGGTCCGCTGGGCCCCAGCGAGATCGCGGGGGCTTACTGGAAACTCGGGTCCCACAATGATGAATGTTGGAAGCTTGGTCTCTTCAGGCTATTCAGGGAGATGTTCGGGGGTCGATGCTGAGGGTGTGGCGGGGAAGCTTCAGAGGACCATTGGGGTGCGGGTCCAGCAGGGTCTGGGAGGCTGTAGAGATTGGGGGCACACGCTGGGAGAGTCCAGTGACCCTGAGGGGCAGGGGTGCCTGGAGAGGGGTGTCTGTGGGAGTGGTCTGGGGACCCATGGGCAGCTAGAGCCCGAAGCCAGGGATCTCTGGGGTAGGGGGCAGAATGCGGGGTCCCCGGGAAATCGGGGAGCCTGAGAGTCGGGGGGAGTGGGCTCTGCGCCCCGAGGGGGTCCCGGGCCAGGGTTCCACGGCCCGGTCCCTGACCCGGATCCCCGGCAGGCTGATCAGCGGCACAGCCGAGGGCCTGAAGGTGCAGACGGAGCGCACCCGCTCGATGCTTCTCTTCGCCAACGTGAGCGCCCGGCATTACGGCAACTACACCTGTCGCGCCGCCAACCGGCTGGGCATGTCCAGCGCTTCCATGCGGCTCCTGCGTGCGTCCGAGAGGCAGGGGCGGGGCCGGGCGGGGGGCGGGGCCGGGACTATCCCAGACTGACTGCGAACTTGGGAAAGTGACGGACGCTGAGACCCAAGCAGTGGGACGGAGCGAGAAACCCATCCCTTCCATGAGTGTCGGTTCATTGAGCGTCCACTAGGGGGAGGAACTGAGACTTGAATGGTAAGAAGCAGCCAGCCCTGCCAAGATCTGCGGGAAGAGCTTTGCGGACGGAGGGAACGGTGTATGTATGCAAAGGCACAGCAAGGAGGCTAGCATGACCTGAGCAGAGTGATCGCCGTGGAGCCTGAGGCTAAAGAGGAAGGGAGAGGCAGAGTTTCATGGGCCCCGGAAAGGATTTTGGATTTTATTCTACTGTAGGGTGAGGCCGCTGGAGGCTATTAAGCAAGGGACTGTCCACGCGGTTGACGCTTCTAAAGAGAATCACTGTTTGAGGAATGGCCTGTAGGGGGCGCAAGATGGAGGCAGAGGGACCAGGGAGGAGGTCCTGCCGGAATCGAGGGCCCGAGCGGCGGCACAAAGTCGCTGTATCGCGGAGATGTTTTGAAGGTGGAGGCAAGAAGGAAGTGGAGTCGTGGCGATCGCAGGTGTTGGCTCGAGTAGCTGGGTGAATGGGGATGTAGCAGTAAAGTACTGAAGTGGAGAGATATTGGGGAGGGGGCAGTAGCCAGTCTCGGGGAGAAAAGTCAAGAGTACCATCTCGGCCGCGCTGACTGCAAGACGCTTCGCAGCATCCTGGATAGACGTAAACGGTGCAATGCGAAGATCTGAGAAAGACGGGGAATAAGAGAGAGGGACTGAGTGGCAGAGAGAAACAATGTTCAGCAAGATGCTAAGACTCCGAACAGAGTGGGGAGAGCAGGCACACCGAGCGAAAGCCCCAGAAAGACCCCTAGAGAGGGAGGCTCAAAGACACCCTCAGAGACAGGGCGGACACAAGGCACCGCCAGACACACATGGGGTCTCCCCTCCCCAGGCCACTCCCGTGACCCTCTCTTTTTCCCCAGGCCCAGGATCCCTGGAGAACTCAGCCCCGAGGCCCCCGGGGCCCCTGACCCTCCTCTGGGCCCTGGGCTGGCTGTGGTGGAGGATGTAGGAAGAACCCAGTGCAGCTCGCCTCCCCCTGCGCGGGGCCTGAGGCCGGGAGCGAGAGAAAAAGGGAGAGCAAGCGCCGTGGGTCTCGAGGGGGCGGAAGAGCTCTCTGCCACCGAGGAGGAAGAAGAGAGGAGGAGGAAGAGGAGGAAAGCTCTTTAGAGAACCCATCACTGTGAGGGATAACGCAAAATTATGCATCTTTCTACAGCCATTTTCGCCGCCGTTCACGTTTCCGATTGTGACCCAGCCCCGGCCACCCCACACCCCTCTCTTAGCTCAGGCTGTCAACTGGATCGTGTGTATGTAGTGGGTGTGTGTGAGCATGAGCCTGCACGTGTGTGTATGTGGGGGGGGGGGAAGGGGCTCAGCAATCTTCCCTCCCCCCAAACCCCCACGCCCACCGCCCCCAATGCTGCTGCCTCTCACCTCTGGCTGGAGGTAGGTATGTGGGCTTCTCGACAGAAGCTGTGAGGAGAGGTTTTCCAGGCTCCCCGGGGTCCCAGTATATGCACGCACACTACCCCCGCCCCTCCCTGTTGAAAGAGTGTCTCCTGGCCAGGTTGGGAGTGAGGAGGGGTGTCACGCACTCACCTGTCAAGCTCTCATTCAGCCTTTGTGAGCAGGTGGGGGATCTCCATCTTGGCTCTGGGCCTCCTTGCTGTCAACCACCAGCTGCCTGTAGCCGGAGGCCCCATCACTGGCTCAGCAGCCTGAGACCTTCCCACTCTCTCTGCCCCCCTCCCCTACCCCGACTTTCGGGCCCCATCTGGGCCAATCGGTGCTTCCATCCAACGGTCAGACTGGTGCCTGTGCTCACCTGTCTGTCTCAGTGCTTTGCCCTACCCCACCCCCGCCCGACTCCCCTCAGCCCCCTGCAGCCATCCACAGGTGTGGGCTTGCCGGTCTACCACTCCCTGGCCTCTCCACCAACTGCACCTCCCAAAGGCTGACCTGACGGCCCTCACACACACTCCGATAGACACACACACACATATCAGCGACTGGGACCAGCAATAGCCCCCTGGCTCCAGCTGACCTATAGCTGGTGACCAGCTTGTAGTTCCCCTGAGGGTGGGCAACTTGTCAGGAGGGGGCACTGAGAGGCTGTAACCTTAGCTCTGCTGTAGGAATATGCGATCCTGGCACACCACACCACACAAAGTGGGGAAGAGAGAGGCATCACAGATATCCCCAGTCCAGACCAAGATGTCAAGTCACCAGCTCTGACTCCTGGGAGACCCGCTAGAAACACCCCAAACCACACTACCCAGAGCTTGGGGAGGAAGAACTCAGAGCAGGGGCAGGGGGGCAAGGGGCAGTGACTGTACCTCAGACGGGGGCGTGGGCCCCATCCCACATTGTCTTCCATCCCCAGGGTCCGGGGGGCTGGGGAGGGGTGGGGGAGGGATGCCAGGGAGGGGGCGGGGGGCCCTGGGGGCCGTGTGTTCCGATTCATGGGGAGTGTTGAGACCACCACACCAATAAACGCCTTTTTCCAAAGTCTCTGCCTGCCAAGCGTCAGGGTCATTAAGGATTTGGGTGAGTGGAGGGCAAAGGGTCATTGGTGGTACCTCCCCGACATCATTTCTACCCTCTCTCTCTCTTTCGGTAGATTTGGAATTGATCCATTACACAGTGATATGAGGCCTATCTAGATCTGCACAGTTGCTTTTCCCCATTACATGGAAAATCTTGGGTCCGTGGGGATAGTGGTGGAGAAGATAGCATGTACAGGCTGAGAATGATAGAAACACTACGGAGTTCAGAGAGGAACGTCTAAAGAAACTGAGTCCATGCTGACATCGTTTGAGTAGCTGGATCAAAATGTACGTGCCGCCCACCTTCATTTACATAAGCAATACAGTCCCCTGAATGTACAAGCCAAGTTGTGTTATGTTTCTTACTAGTGATTAAAAAGAAATGAAAGGTCTAACTGATATAGAAAAGATATAGAAGATCCAGGTACCCAGGACCCCAGCCTTCACCTTTCCAAAAAGATCCAAGAGCTCTGTTTCCCTAAAGGCCTCTTTCATCCCCATCTTTAACCAGAATACCTCACATCCTTCCCTTCCCTGGGAGACGGATGCATTAGTTGTTTCTTCCTTCTTTGCTGTCAGACCCACCTCCCATGATATAGGTTGAGATGTTTGGTTTCCCAGCCTCTCTTGCAGTGATGTGGCTAATTTGGGGTCAAAAGGGGAAGTTTGCCGATGGGCTTCCAGGAAAGTTTTTTCCTCACTCATGAGGTTGGTTGAGGGAAGGAGTGTGGGAAGGGAACCTTGCTCCCTTCCTTTTGTCTTCAGATACAGTTGTGTGAAGAGGTGATGCCTGGAGCTCTAGCAGCCATCTTGCCACATAAGACAATATGCCAACCCACTGAGGGTGGCCGAACAGAAGGATGCAGAGAGCTCAGGTCCTTCACGGGGTTGCTAAGTTGCTGAGCCAGCCTGAAACCACCATTTATTTTGCTACCATTTATTTTGTTACTTGCAGCCAAGGGAATCTTCATTGACACACTCCCGAAATTTCCAGTGAGAAACCCAGCTAAAAAAGAAAGGCATCGTGCTGGGGAGAGCAGCCGCAAGCCCAGCCTTCCACTGGCGCCACAATATTTGCTCAGTCAACCAATATTTATTGATTACCTGCTGTGTGCCAGGCTCTGTGTTAAGTGCTGGAAATAATGACATGGTCTCTGCCTTCCTGACATTCTCAGTTTAGAGAGGGAGGCAGAGGTTAAACAAGTACATACAGATTTCAGTGAGAGAAGCCAGAGGTTCAGAGGCTGTGGGACCAAACCCATGACCACGGCAGCCTCCTAAGCTGGTAATGGTTACATTTTTAGGGTTTCTGGACCTGATTCCAACATTGGAGGGTTCCCTCCCCCAACACAGTATTTCTATCATTCTCAGCCTGTACATGCTATCTTCCCCAACACTGTTATCCCCACAGACCCAAGATCTTCCATGTAATGGGGAAAAGCAACCTGTGCAGATCTAGATAGACCTGAGAATTCTCAACACACCAGGTGTCTGAGAACTCAACTCCAATCTGACACTGTCTCCCCAAAGACAGCAGGAGATTCTAAGATTCATGGTGCAGTCCTACAAGACTGCCACCCCCATTCCCTGCTTCAGACACCAGCTGCAAGCCCCAAACTGCTACCCATGCTTTTGACCAACTCCCTACAGCTGGAGGTTCCAAAGACCTCTTCCTTGGATTTGATTAATTTCCTAGACTGGCTGGCAGAACTCAGGGAAACACTTATATTTACCAGTTTATTAAAGGATATGAGGAAGGATATGAATCAACAACCAGATGAAGAGATACACAGGGCAAGCTCCCAAACAAAGGAGCGTCTGTTCTTGTGGAGCTTGGTGGTACAGGGGGACATTCTGGTTCCTCCAGCGTGGAAGCTCTCCGGAAATGGACCCAAGGCTATCCTCTTGGGATTTTATGGAGGCTTCATTATATCGTCATGATTGACTAGTCACCGGCCATTGGCTGATTCAACCTCCATTCCCTCCCCCTCCTGGAAGGGGGGGGGCAGGGAGGGGTTTGGGAAAGTTCCAGTCCTCCAATCACAGGTTTGGTCCTCCAGGCCACCAGCCCCGCCTTTGGGTGGGATCCAAAAGTCACCTTCATTAATAACAAGACACCCATTTCACCTTTATGGCTCTGAATCGTTTTCAAGAACTGTGGATCAAGCAAGGTCAAAGATATCTGAGAAACATATTTTGGTCATCTGAATGACCAAATATATATTTCCTATAAATCATTGTAGCTCAATTACCATTATACTTGAGAAGTGAATAACCTGGGGCAAAGAGTGGTGTTCCAGGCAAAGCAAACTCTGGGGCAAAGCCCCGGAGGCAAAATAGAGCTGTGTGGACAGAAATTGAGTAGCAGGGGTGAAAGTACAGGAAGGGGAGGTCAGAGGTCAACAGAAGTCAAACCACAGGGCTCTGAAAATCATAGTGAGGAGTCAGGACAATATCTGAAGAGCAGTGGACATCCCCAGAAGGGTTTAAAGAGGAGAGGACGTGGTCTGAGGTATTTTAAGCTGCAGACGCTGGGAACTGGATGGGGCATGGCCTGGAGGAGACGAACGGATGTAGGAAGACCTTCTGAGAGAAAGAGGCTGGGCCCCTCCTGGGGCTTGGACAAGCCCGGCCTGTCCACCAGCCTGTCCACCACCGAGCCTGCAGGTCCTGCCTGCCTGGAGGTTTTGCAAACCACACGGGTAGATCAGCAGGAGTCTCTCCCAACCCAGAAGCCACAGCTCCTTAGCTGCACAAATACAAGTAGTCTTCTGCGCTGAGAGGGAGACAGGAAGTCTCATGTTCAGGGGCCAGTCTTCAGTCACAGCAGGACAGGAAGGCCCTGCCTGCTGTTGGGGTGAAATAGGAGGTCCTACCAAAAAAAAAAAAAAAAAATCCTGCGCAGAGCGGGCCCTGGTCACACCTGTGTGGCTGCCCGAACAGTCCTTGGGCCCCCACCCGTAGAGATGACTGGACTGGGGCCAGTGGCCTAGAAGAGAAAGGGAGGGAAGGGGACAACCTCAGGGATTACCCTGAATGTGACATGACTCACGCTTTTCTAATGCTAGCTCACATCAGTCAGACATTAGCGGGGTTCCCTCCATTTACAACAGGGAAAAAAGAAATGTCCGCCCACCCTTGGGAGAGATAAGACATGTGGCAACCCAGCTTTTATGGGGAAGAAGACATTCCATCCCACGTCTGATAGAAAATATAAGTTTTGCCAATTTTTATGGAAAAGAATAAAGGAGTTCTCCCTCCTTTGGAGGGAAACTGGAATTTCACTCTTAATATGACAAAAATTGGATGGGAATTCCTGTCCCAATTTTATGTATTAAAAGGGGGGGGGTGTTTACCAACTTTGTAAATCAACAAGTAAACCTGGAGGAAGAGGACTCAGACCATCTCCTCTCCCTAAAACACAAAAAGTTCTCCCCCCATTCCAGGACATGGGGCACCCCCAGTCACCTGGTGGGCCCTGTTTGGGCTAGGGTCCTCCAGTGGGACTTTGAGGGGCAGAAGCTGTAAGGCCTGCACTGGGGTTACGCTCTGCATCTTTTTTTCCAGTGGGGCAATCACAGAGGTCAAGGAGGAGGGATGCTTCTTTTTCTTAAAAGAGTATCCTGGAAAGAGGAGGAAGAGAAACAGAAACACGTGATTGGCTGTTCCAAGCTGAGGGGCGGAGCCTTACTCTGATTGGCTGATATGGAGGTAGAAGGCGGGATGAATGACCTGTGGCCGTTCTGACTGGTTCAGCCAGGTCTCCAATGGGCCTCTTTCTAGGGACCCTCCCGGGGTGGGGGTGGGGGGCCCCTCACTTACCCCTAAGGCTGCACAGGCAGCAGATACACAGGTAGAGAAGTGCTGCCAGGAGCGCCAGGCCAAGTAGGGAGCCCAGGACGATGCCAGCAATGGCCCCAGAGCCCAGGGTGGGACCTGGAAGAGACAGAGAGATGGAGGATAAGGAGCCGGGGCTGGACCCAAGTTTCCTAAGCAACCTGCTCCAACTATTTCGGAACCCAGGCATCTGGGACCCCAGACTCTCATTTTTATTTAGCATTTACTAAGTAACTGGTGCGACTGGCATTCTACCAGATGGTAACAATCCCCTGGTGAGCAAACCCGGATACCCACTCTCATGGGGATTAATTTTTAGGGAGATCAGAAATGAATGCACAAATTAATAACATAATCACAGGTTGCACTAAGAAGAAAAATAAATGTGCTATGACAGAAATAATGTGTTATAGAAATAGAGTCGGTCTTCTGCAAAGACTGTTTTCAAATAAGGTCACATTCACAGGTCCTGAGGGTTAAGATGTCAATATATCTTTTGGGGAGAG